AAGTAAGATCATGCTTGTGGCACTCATGTTTTAAGAAAAGTTTGAGTTTGGCATAAAGAACTTAAAGATGAAAATTGCATTTATGACAACAATAAATGCTTTCATTATAGCCAAATTTTAGGGTAAAAGGTATTACAATTGCCATTGAAATTGTACCCATGTGTATCCAAAGAGTGTGTAAAGGATGGAAAAGTATGTTGTAAGATTTTGTTTGGTATCTTAATCAAGCACAATTCATGTACAAAAGACTTAACAAGGCATTGACAACAACCATAGGATAGTCGTAACAGAAACTTTTTATACCAATTGTAGCAATACTCATACTCCTTCATGACCATGCTATAATTGAAAATGGTCAAGTAATGCATATGGCTAAAATGCTTAATCATTTGGCCTAAGCCTTTAGAGTTTTTGGTCTCTTAAAGTTTTGAACATCAGTTGAAGAAGCACATAAGAGATCAAGGTTGAAACTACGATGTATGCAATACTATTTGTAGCAATGAGAGAGTGAAACATTTATCTCAAATGAAATTAATGAAACATTTATCTCAATGAAATTCCAATCGTCAAACTTAAGACAATACAAAGAAAGTTGGTGTTTGGACTAGAAAGGATATGAAATGTTTCGAGGCAGCTATTGCTCAGTGTATGTTGGATGTAAAGGCCCAGCCATCAATTCGTCAATTGCATCTATCACAACATGCCTTATGATTTTGTTATTCATCACAGAACAAGTAGTGTTCATGAAAGAAAGGTTTGATATCCATTTCAAACAAACAAAAAAGTTAATAAATACACTTATAAGGACATCAAATAGAAAAGGAGAAAATGAGCCATGAAGGATTGGAAAAAGTGTTATGAAAATATGAAGGCAAAACAATGAGTCTCCCAAGTGCTTCAACCATGGAAAGGAAAAGAATATAGCTAAAAATAAACATGAACAAAATTTACTGTCCCTTCCTTCATTGAAAAGAATAATTAAAATTGAATAAGTTTATTCATTTTCTATGGTTGAAGAAAAAAATTAACTTTCAAAATTGCAGAACAATGATTTTGCAATTGTGAAGGAGAGATTCATTTACAATACTTCTTGCTGTGATATATAAAATAGTAAAATCTTGGGTTAATGATTAAAGTGACTCACCAAGAAACAATAGCAATTGCTTTTTCCCTTCCTCAAAGAAAAAACAAAAACAATTGTTTTTCCTCGATTTAAAGTATGGAATTGTTTAACTATGTGATTAGAACATTAAAGGAAATTTTCTTTTAATGACTTTGCTTCTTTTTTCTTTATTTTTTGCCTCGAATCAATAATTCAAGATTCACTATCTTTTTCACTCAAAGATGAACAATTTTCTTGTCATTTAAAAAAAACATCTTAAAAATTAAAAAAAAAAGTTGTTTTAATTTTTTTTTTAATTTCTCCTAACATTGAAATAATTTATTGGTTCAAAAATTTTATTTATAAATTGATTGACCAATCCATGAATGTCATTAGATTCAATAGTTGGCTTACATGGGTTGCTCAAAAAAGCATTACTCCATGAATGATTAGAAGATCTCATTAAATTCATACAAATATATTATTATGATGTCATAAAAGAAGAGAGACAAGTAACATTAATTACGAAAATAACTATTTTACATGAATGAAAAAAAAAAAAAAAAAACACCGCCATATATTTTGTATAAAATAAGTCAAAGTTTTCAACTAATTAAGACAACAGCCTCCAATAGTTTCAATATTTATTACAATTAATTTTCTTTTCTTGTCATTTCAGTCTTTAATTTTTAATTATTTTGCGTACGCAAAGCTATAAATATACTAAAAATTTGAAAAACAAATCATTTAGTAAAAGTAATATAATAATAATTAATAATATTAATATCCAATACTTAGCATAGAGGCTTACATAAGCATGGGTACATAAGCATTTATTTTTTTTCTTTTGCAAAATATAAATCATTACTATAGCGAGGCAAACAGGTCAAACATTATCCAGCAATTCAAGTATGATTAAATAAATCCTCCTTAATTGTTAGCCCACCAGAATTTGGACTGAAGATTTTTCACCACGTATTTGTCCAATTGGAAGGCCTTGACAAGAACATCAGGATTAATGGGTGGGTTTGATCCAAACACTGCATTGGCCATTGTAATGACACCAGGATTCTGGCTGCCAAAAGCAGCAAAGGCAACAGCATTGGTTTTCCCCACATTGAACTGGAAGTGAATGAGGCCAACAGGGAAAAGAAACACATCTCCAGGGTATAGGACTTTGGTGATGAGACGATTATCTGGGTTGGATGTAACAAAGCCAACGTAAAGTGTGCCCTCCACAACGACTAGAATTTCCGTGGCACGAGGGTGAGTGTGAGGGGGGTTTAGGCCACCGTCGGGTGCAAAGTCAAGTCGAGCCAATGAGATGTCAAGAGTGTTAAGTCCTAGTATTTGGGCAACATTGACTGGAGTCACAGTTGATCCCACTGGATTTGATGTGTTTCTTGGGATGTTGAGCCCTGAAAAGAAGAAGTCTTGTGCTTTGGCAAGCTTTGGATCCTTGCAGAACTTCCCATTAACAAACACTGTATATATGAAGAGCAAAAATATGTTATTTTCATTATTCCATGCAAAGCTTATAGATTGTTTTAGATAGTTTTCCTGCCCAGAAATTTTGCTTCCTACTGAGTTGCTTTGTTTTAGGCACATATTTGAAGTAAGTTTAAGAATAACAGAGAAAAATAGAACATACCACCATCCTTGGTGTCATTGATGGCGACGCAGAAATCCTGGAGAGGGCTAGGATCAGATGCATAGGCAAATGTGGAAGCCAGAGCCAAGAAGAAATTGCTAAGAGGAAATGAGCACCTTTCATTGTGATAATGTAATTTCTAGCTTAAAATCTTGAAAGTCTGATTGCTTTGGAAGGGATGAGAAATTTTGCCTGAGAACATGCCTATTTATAGATTAATTGGAGTCTTTGAACAAGTTTATAATCTCTGATTTTCAAGAAGCAAAAGAAAGATTTAGCAAGTCTGCTTCGATCTTTTTTCCTTCTAAATTTCCGATGACATGTCCTTCAACCACTACCAAGTGTACTCAGCGAATTCCTGATCCATATGCTTACATCAACACATAGTTTTGTTATGGAAGTAGTCATTTCTGTCATTAAATTATGTCTTTTGTTCCAAATGAAACCATTTTGTTGACTTTAGCATAAATCCAAGATTGTCACGTAAGATACAATTAAAAATTAGGATTAACTATAAAAATAATCTGTGTTACATATTTATTTGTCAATTAGTACTTAAAAAAATAAAATTATCGATTGATACTCAAATTTTCATTTCATTACCTATTACTTTGAACCAATGTCGTTACTTAATTTATTAATTTAACATAAACAATTAATAAAATATTGATACGTGTCAAAAAAATCTAGACAATATTACATTATCAATTGCCACGTCAACATTAATAGAAAATTCAAAAAAACTTTAAAAGTTCTAAAAGTTTTTCAAAATTTTTTAAAAGATATAAAAATTAAAAATATGAAATAGTTTTAGAAATTATAAAAATTAAAAAATTATTAAACTTAACAAAATCAAAATAATCTCAAATTTTTAATAAAAAATAAAAAAAATCTGAAAATTTTTTAAAAATAAAAATTTTAAAAATTCAGTAAAATTAAAAAATTCACAAAAACATAAAAAATTGAAAATAAAAGAAATCTATTTTTTAAATCAAAAAATTTATTAAAAAATTCTTAAAATTTTAAAAAAAATTTGTAAAATTAAAAATAAAAATCCTAAAATTTTAATAAACATTTTAAAATAATTTTAAATAATTCTAAAATATATAAAAATTAAAATTGTAACATTAGAAAAAAATTTACAATTCTGTAAAAATTTTAAGATTTTTTCAAAAAAATTTAGATTTTTATTATTTTCAATTTTTTAAGTTTTTGTGATTTTTGTTAATTTTAAGAAAATTTTATTCTTATGAAAGTTTTCATTTTTTTTTTTGAAATTTTCAAACTTTTTTTAATTTTTCGTATTTTTTTCTTAAAATTTCTAGATTTTTTGAATTTTTAAGTTTTCATATTTTTAAAAATTTTTCAGCTTTTTAATTTTTTATAATTTTTTAAAATAATTCAGATTTTTTTAAATTATCTTTTAGAATTTTTTTTGAAATTTTTAAAACTTTTTTTAAAGCTAACGTGACAATTGATGATATAATGCTAACTAGACTTTTAACACGTAGTAATATCTTATTTGATATTCATACTACGTAATCATGTTTTCTATCGATGTTAATCTTAGATATGAAAGTGGATAACGGAATGAAAGTTAGAACACTAAACTGAAAATTTTATTTTTTTACATATAAAACTGAAGAAAATATATAATTTAGAGAACATTTTTATATTTAACCCTAAAAATAAAGTTAGACAATAGTCCTTGCTGACTCTGTTTAAACATTGAACTGCCCTGGGCAGGTTTCTTGTGCCGCTCCTCGTTCAAATATAAATTTCTGGTATAGCTTGCATTACCATGCTGGCATGGCTTTATAATTAAGTTGAAAATCATGGCTTACATGCAAACCTATTTAACAGAATTCCACCTTCAGAATTATCATTGTAGATTTTGCGTGTACCATGCAGGGGAAGGCAGTGTCTGGAGTATTGAATATGAAATTGACCTAACCCCAAAAGTCAGCAAGTTCATCTCAAGTCTTTATATGCTGTATAAACTGATTTGTGAGATTAGAATCATAAACAATCAAGTTGTCCAAATCTCCACCTCTCTGGGCATTGTTTGTCACTATTCATTGCTCACCTTAGATACCATTTGATAATTAACCTATTATTTTTGCTATATGTTTTGAGACTTGCAAATGAACAAAAGGTTTAATGCTTGAAAGTTACTTGATCTGTTTTATAAAAGCAGCATAAATGAAGCAGTTGTGTACAATTTCTGCACATTTGAGTGAGAATGATGTCCTGCTTTGGACCTTGCATACACATATAAGCATAAATGTTCGCACAAGAGAAGGAGAGAGAGTAAAAATTGCACTATATATTCCAATTTGCACATACAGAATGATCACAAGGAGAGAGGAGACTGGACTCTGGGAAGCTACATTATCAACCAACCTGTTTATTGTATGATACTAAGAATAATAATACGACTTTAATGAGTAAACAGTATGAAAACATTATTCAAAACAAACAACAAACTGCTGGGGTTTTATTTTGGCTCTTAAGTTACATTTTAATCTGACCAGAACCGGGACTGAAGATAGGTAACCACATTCTTGTCCAACTGGAAAGCCTTTGTGAGAACATCCGGATTGATTGGTGGGTTTGAGCCAAAGACTGCATTAGCAATAGTGATAACCCCAGCATTTTGGCTGCTGAGACCGGCGAATGCAACAGCATTAGTTTGCCCTATATTGAACTGGAAGTGAATCAAACCAATTGGGAAAACAAAAACATCTCCAGGATTAAGGATTTTAGTGAAGAGACGGTTATCTGGGTTGGATGTAACAAAGCCAACATAAAGTGTGCCCTCTACAACAACTAGGATCTCAGTTCCTCGGGGGTGAATGTGAGGAGGGTTAAGACCACCATAAGGTGCAAAGTCAAGTCTTGCCAAAGATATGCCAAGAGTGTTAAGTCCTGGTATTTGGTCAACATTGACAGTAGTGACATTTGATCCAACTAGATTTGATGTGTTTCCTGGCTTGTTGAGGCCAGAAAAGAAGAAGTCATCTGCTACTGCGAGCTTTGGGTCCTTGCAGAACTTCCCATTTACAAACACTGCACGAAAGAAATGTTAGTTGATATATATCATCCCATGCAAAGGTAGAGTAACTTTTAGCAATGTTATTTTATTAAAATATTGCTCCCAAGCTGAGTGTTCCTCAGAACTGGCATTATTAGCTTCATGATCATGAAAAAAACCTGAAAACATAAACTGACAGCCTACGTACCACCATTCTCAGTGTCCTTGAGAGCCACACAAAAGTCCTGGAGAGGATCAGGGTCAAAGGCTGAGGCTAATGAGCAAGCAAAGCCCAAGAGGGCAAAAGCAACAAGGAAAGAGTTACTTCCTTTCATTATGATAGACCTGCAAAATAGCAATGCTTACTCCAAAATTAGTTGGTTGTTTAAATTTCTTCGGTGAAGAGTGAGAAACTTTGCTCGAAAGACAGACCTATTTATAGATGGAAACCAATGACCTGGTCACTATTTTTCTTAACTAGCAGGTAAAGACTTTTCAAGAAGAATTATTTTCAAATAATTCCACTCTTTTATCCTTCTTTGTTTTAGTCATTCTACGCAGTTATTTTGATGCAACAGGCCAACTACTTTTACGTAGATCTTGATCAATTGATGTCCAAAAAGTATGTTTCACGGAGCACAAATACAATAAATTTATGTTAAGCTTGGAGCTTTTGTTTTATCTCTGAAAAATTTCAGTTTGAAAAGTCAATTCTGACATGTTCATAGATACTTAAGATATGATATTAATGCGTATTACATTGAAAGCATTGATTTTTTTGCAAGATTACTTAATCTTGCTTTACTGAAACGTTTCTTTGATCATTTCCACGGTTTAGTTGGCATGACCGGAATAGTTTGGAAAAGATTCTGGAAGCAATATAGTCTGAAAATTGTGGATGAATCTGTTGGAACTCTTCTAAATTGAACATAAATATTGAATATCAAACACAGGCTTGAGAACTTTGGAAGGAAACTTGGTTCTTTAAGTGTGCAACGAAGTAATCAGCAAAGCACATTGGTAAAAGAAAATTGTCAGATTTCTTGCACTACTTGATCAAAGAAAAATAAAGAAAAGTTGATAAAAGATTGGTAGGTGACAATATTGACATTAAGCACAACAAATCTTTCCCGTGGTAAGTAAAGGCACATAAGACTGCTACTTCTAAGACCATTTCCTCCCTTTGTTTTAAATGGTCACCAGAAATTGCTTAAGACAGGTTTGGTACTGATATTAGGTACCTAATATGAAATTAATCGCCATTCCAACGTGCCTGTAGTTTCTACTTTACACGGGTTTATTCATAAATTTGTTCTAACAAGAGCTAGGGGGGAAGGAAACTGGTTTAATTACTATTATATGCGAAAATATGTGGGGAAAAGAAGCATTTTTCTTTACCCAAAAAATTGTTTTCTTTGTTAAAAAATGAAGAAAATTGATTCAAGAATTCTCATGAGTCATGAATGATGAGTTTGGAACCACGTTGAAGGTCTCAAACCAACTGCTTTGAGTAAATTATTTGATATAATACATGTTGCAACAATAGGAAGGCATCTCTCATGTAAAAGGATTAGTGTTTGAAGTAGGATTATGCAACATTGTCCAAAATTGAGTCCTTATAGAACACGGAATTGACTTAACCAAGTCATAAAATCTCAACCAAATTACAACTTCAATTCAAGTACAATGAAATAATATGCTCTACTTATTTGTTAATAAGGATTCAAATAATGGCTCTGTGGCAGGCATTGCGGTTGTTATTTTGCAATTTAAATAATGGCTATGATACATTCTAAACTCACCATTTGGTAAGAAATATACAAGCAAAAAGAAATTCTTTAAGACCTCATTTTTATATTTTTCTCTCTCTAAAATGAAATTCTTTAACTTCTCTTTAACCTCAAAGAAAATGAAGAACCTCAATTACCTCAACCCAGAAACCAACTAGACTCCATCGTGTCAGTTGGCATACATCACCTCTTATCGCCGGTGACCGGTGGCACAAACAAAAAAAAAAAATTGTTCTCTTTAGTCTCCCCTCTCCTTTAGTTGGATTAAATTCTACAAAAACTCTCCAGGATCACTTAAATCTAAACCAAAAATCAAATAATGCCGCCACTATCTCCACCACTTACCACTGTCCAAACAAACTAAAAATACTAGAAAATTTCCATTTTCACCTCTTTGACATAAACTTAGAAGTAAACCCACTATGCTCCAAACCCTCAACAAAAACTCACTTGGTAGTTTTTTTTTTTTTTTTTTTGCTTTGAATGCTTTCTAAGTATGATTGTGTTATTGTATTATTGTGATTGTCTTGTTTTGATTCTTCTTATATTGTTTGCTTTTGGGTAATTGCTGATTGTATTTGCCACTAGATGATTATGTGTTTGTGACTCCATTTGTTTTCTATAGATTGCTATTTAGTTCCTTGATTGTTAAAATTTGCTAGGTTTTGTAGCTGTCGAATTCTTTCTCCCAATCCTTCTCCTTGACTACTGATTACAAGAAATCTTTCTGACCAAAACTTTAGCTTTGTTTGCCTTTGTTCTCTTAATAATATCATCAAGATGTCACCAAAATTGTGAGTTTAGAAGAAAAATAACTGCAAAAGTTGACTAATTTTGAGGAAATGCTTGAAGAACTAATTTGATTTTGTTTGGTTTTTTTTTTTTAATACTTAGGTATAGTTTACTTTTTCTTTTTTAGCTGAAATTATGAAGAAATTAGTATTTCATTGATAAAAAACTTAACGGTTGATGTTGGACTTAACGGCGCATGTACAACACTCCCATTAAGAAGTTTTTATTTGAACATATCTAAAAATGTTTAATTTTAAATTAAATCAAATTAAAAATAATAACTTTAATTCAGAAAACACTCAAGAGTTAATTGTTAAATTGAAAATTTGCCTTTGTTATTGTGATCGTAAGCATTTAGCGTTTGTTTTTGTCATCTCTTCTTGTTGGCAAAAAGATATCCAGCTCTCTCGCTCTTGATATTATGCTACTACTGATTGCACGAAAGAGCAGCTGCATGATTCGAACAGATCCCCAACTTCCATTCCTAGCCTTTTTCGCTGCTACACTTTCTTCTTTTTTATAACATTCATATCTCAAGTACTATAAAATTGGTCCAAAAACACATGCATTATTAAAATCTTTCAATAATCAGCTTAAATAGGCTGTAAATCATTTAATAAATTTATGTTTAACAAAAATACATAACAAATAAGTGATTAATTTGGTGCATGTGAATCGAACTATGCATCGAAAGTTGCTAAAACATAGATTTGCACCAAATCAGTACATCACCAATATCTGCAAGTACCAATTAAGTGCATGATAAATTTTCAAGCCACAAGCTAACATATTATCTTTAACCACACATTTTGTGTGAGCAACAAGTAGTTCGTGACATTTTTTACAATCCTAGACATCTTCTCTGGCATCTTTTTTTTTCTTCACATACGTTGCAATAATATTCTCTTGAATCATCATTCACAAAAGATCATTAAGAACAAGAGGATAACTGTGACATCTGAAATTAACTTTATATAGAACATTGACACATTTCAAATAAAAATTTAGATCACACTCAATGCAATGGTGCATAGACTTTTCTCCCAAAAATTTATAACGTTTGTTATAGATAAGACAAAAAAAAAAAATTTACTTACATAGGAGAATATAAGTTTATCCATTTGAAAAAGGTGAAATTGTGGGAGTGAGACTTTGATCTTAGAGGACACTTTAAGGAATTAGCACATGAGAAATTGAGGTAGATATTGCATAGCAACTATAGCAGCACTTTTCAAAGATTGGGTATTTGCAGGCAAGATAGTCGCTATCTACAATTAATTCCCCCAAGATATATAAGTGTAGAGCTAGGGCGTGGAGTGGGTGGAATGGAAGGTTAATCTCTCATGGTACTTTTCCAAGGCAAGATTCATGAAGATAAAGTCGACATTGAAATCAATAATAGGCTGGACCTGAGGTTTTTGAGTGGCATGCATGGCTACATTTTATGTTTTTGTAAGTGGGCATAAAATTCTCAAGGACTAGATTATGCATAGATGGATGAAATGGAGTAATTGTTGTAGACATTGAATTTTGTTTGTGTCTATCGAAGCTTTAAATCACGTTTGTTGTTTTTGTTTATTAATATTAAAATTATTAATAATTATAACAGAAAAAAATAGTAATAGAAAAAAAATTAATAATAAAATATTAATATTGGTTTAATATTGTTTAAAAAAAAAGAAAAGAAAAGAAAAAAGAAAAAGATGGGACAGGGATAAGTATGGTGCCATGTACAGCACCAGCCAATCCACCTGCCTCTGCCACCACCATTCCTAGCCTTTATCATACCCACTCCTCTAAGCCAATCCTTGGCCATACCTTACACTACTAGAACCCTTACCAGCTAACACCTATTCCACCTACCTCCCAGACACCCAACCCTTTAAAACACCTAGCTCCATCCCTGACTAGCAGGAGAAATCCCAACTCTAGGACACCCAGAAATTCTAAGCTCTCCAACACCCAAAAAAAAAAAAAAAACCCAAGCTCTCACACCCAAATGACCCAGCCCTTCACACACCCCAACTCTCAAAGTCCCAACCTCCAAACACCCCATGAGACCCCTCACCAGGCTCCTTCGACCTTAGCTGTACCCAAAGACCTAGCACCTACCAGAAAACAATCAAAAATCCAAAAAAAAAACAAACAGTCCTCATCACAAGGAGGAACCCATCACTAAGCTACCTCAGCACCAAGCTACATTATCAGTTATGGTTTTAAAAAAAAAAAGAAAGGAAAAATTGAAGCTTTAAACCCTGATCTACGTCGACCAAGACTATTCTTGCCAAAAAGAATACTAGATATGGAAAGAGTTCATTAAGGAGAATTTTTGAAAGTTTTTGGCACTTTTCAACCATTGGCGATGACCACCGGTGATGACACTAGACAACAATCGGCACCACGGCACCACAGCACCATGACCGGAGGTGAGACACTGGCATAACCCGTTGAGTTCTATTTAGAGCTCTAAATTTTCTTTTTAGCATAAAGGATAAAATGAGTTAAAAAAAATTTTGGTTTTATATAGAAGAGTAAAGCCCAAAATGATGACGTTTAAGGCCAAGAAGGATTCGTGCGTGAACCCGGACCCAACTAGGGATCCACACGGCCTGACCTGGTGACACGTCCTTTAGCTAGCTCTAAACTGGTTCAACTAAACCGTTCGTCAAACCACCCCTCAGCTGGTTCAACCAGGTCAACCATGAACTGAACGAACTGGCATTGATTGGACCATTAACCAATCTGATTCATGTTTTTTTTTTAAATATTTTTAAATATTTTTCTTATTT